TATCTTTAGAGCGGTCCTGAAATATTTGTTTCCGTGCATAAAGTCAACTGTAATTGTAACCAAAAATATCCAATTTCATCGTTAAGAATGTTCATTGTTAAAATTTTGTTATTGATTTATTTTTGACATATTCTGACATTTGCACATGCACTGCAGCGCACCTAGGAAATTTGATATCTTACTGATTAGTTGTGAGTTTTCTTGTTTAGCTTAATTTTGTATTTATTGTAGTAGGTCCCTCGGCCATTTTCTTTTTAATCTGCGTCGATCGGGTAACAGGAAGCAGGAAATAGAAAGGACTAATGGATTGAAGTGATTTAGAATTGAAGAGTGAAATGAAGTGTATTTGCCGTGGATGTAGGATTTTACTGTTGGGATGTTCAAGTTCTTATGTATGGTGTTATTTGAAATGTACCAAGGTGCGTTGTCCATTTTTCGTAGAATTTTTTATTTTGTTGTTTGTATTTTGTTTATGTGTGTTTGTTTTGCCGAACCCCAAAGTTCATCTCTGTATGTCCGAATTGGCCTCAGTATGGTGTTGTAGATTAGTTGTTTTGTAAGTCAACTGATGATCTGTAGTCTAGAAGATGTGAGAGTTGGTCTAGTCAGTTCTTGTCTTTTTAATTTATTCTGTATGTTTCAGGTAAGCTTTTTATCTAAGTAGAGTCTGAGGTACCGTACATTGTTTTTTTGAAGGCATTGGGATATTGCGTTACGGGTGGACATGAGGCTTTCCTAAAAGAGTATGTCAAGTGGGTAGATTTGTTACTATTGATTTAAATTTTCCATTTCGCAACCGATTCTGAATATCATAGAGGTGATTTTGAAGAGATAGTAGGATATTTGTGGGAAGATGTTATAAATGAATTCATGAAAAATTTTGATTTATTTATAACTAATATTATTACTATGGTGTAGAAATTTGAAATTTAGATCAGATATAAAATTTTTAAAAAGTTGTTTAAATATATTTGACCAAGCATCTGAGATCATCATAATGAATATATACAGTTTCTTAAAGTCATGTACCTTATTTATTTTCTTATTTCATCTCCATAATATTCCATAGAAATCAATATGTAATATTTTTAATTTTAATTGGATAACATGTGGCTAAAAAAATGAGACCTATGTATTTGTTTAAGGGAACAAAAAGTAATTAATTGTAAGATCCAGGAATGATGTAATATTTTCTTTGAATATGTTTCAAATAAATTTAATCTTCAGAAATGCTAAATGTTTGAGAGAACTTAATCAGGTTCAACATAATACTAACATTCTAAGGAGGAGCAGTGATGATAGCGTTGAGTGAGACATTTTACGGGATTGTCCGATATAATACTTTTTATAGCTTTATTTATTGATCATTACATTACTGATTAGTAATGTATTACTTAGTTTAATAAATTTAATTTGAATTAATTTTTCGTCATTATATTCTTGGTTCAAGACGTTTGATCGAGTATGGCACCCGGGACTGCTTTACAAACTCCGTAAATTCCTACATCCTACATACTTTCTCACTATCCGTTTTCACCTAACTGATAGATACTTCAAAGTAAATCACAATAATGCTTATTCATCCCTCTTTACCCAGTCCGCTGGTGTTCCTCAAGGTAGTATCCTAGGCCCTATCCTTTACACAGTTTATACAGCTGACATCCCAACTCATCCTAACACTGTTATTACCACGTATGCCGATGATAGATTTGTCATATCCGTTAATAATGACCCTACCATTGCATCCCTTACTCTTCAATCACACATCACAAACCTTGGAAACTGGAGGGTTATAATAAATTCTAATAAATCCCATCAAATTACCTTTACTCTTCGCCGTAAACCTATGACTTCCTGTCCTACAGTATCCTTTAATAATATCCCCCTTCTCCCTGTTGAACAAATCCGATACCTTGGACTCCACTTGGACAAACGTCTAACTTGGAATCCTAATACTGGAATCCAGACTGAAACAACAAGAAGCCGTTCGACGTTTCCAACTACTTCGACTACAAAAGACTCGTACACATAACTGCAATAAGACCTATTTGGACTTAAGGAATTGAAATTTAGGGCTCCACTAAGCCACCGAATTGCTCTCGTATTCAATCCACAATCCTTCGGAAAATCCTCAATGCTCCTTACTTTGTCACCAATAAAATAATCCATAAAGGCCTTACATATTCCTCATGTTTCAGATTTTGCCCAATCCAGTTACCTATCCTTCCATAATAAACTTCAGAACCATCCGAATCCTCTTGTCTCTAACCTTGCTTCCTCTTCTATCCCTGATAACCCTCCGAGAAAAGAAAATGGCCTCGAGATCTCTTATTGTAAATAAATTTTTTTTTCGAGTGCTACCAGTGGCTAGTAACTCAAAAAGTGATTTCATGTTATTTTTTTTGTTATCTAATTTACTAAATGTATTTTATTTGTTAATACAGTTGTAAATACCATTAATAAAAAAATATATATTCTTGGTTCCAAAATAACATTATTCCATAACTTTTTTTTTTTTTTGTCTCTCGTATAATTATTTCTTCTAATTATAACAAATCATTTAAACCAAAGGTTTAATATTAAAATAATCCTAGTTAAATTAAATCATATTTACAATTGAATTTACAGATTTCAAGGAAAAAGAATAATCGTAGTCCGTTTGTACAATTTCAATGGCTTCATTTGAAACAAATTAATGTGAAATGAAGTACTGTAATTCAATGAGGAAACGGTTTCTTAATTAATTAAGAAGGAGAAAAATAAATGAAATAGAAGTTCTCGGTTGAAACGTTCAAATAGTAGGGTGTATATGAGAGGTGGGCATTGCAGAGAGGAAATTCTTAAGAGCGCCCTAGAAGGCAGTCGAGTGTCTCTTAAGATTCAGAAGTCGGAGAGAAGCTTGCTTATGCCTTCTCTCAGCCAGGCTTAGGACTCCAGTACTCCTTGCCCGTCCCTTAGTATCAGCATTCATACTGTCTTTAATATATAAAGTATTCTGTCTTGTATTTTGCTATACGGTGTCTATAAAATATTTTATCTTTAATACTATCATTTACTGAAATACACACACAATAATCATTCCGTATAACATTATTTAAATACGCATGAAGCTAGAAAAGAGACATAAGGTATAAGGTATTTATGTTATAAATGGAAAAATCCAAACTACAGATCTTTGAGTCTAAAATAAACAGATGAATAATTGACTGCCCTCCTGTTAAGGCACGTTAAATATTCACCTAGGCGTAATTATAATTCGCTTTGAGACGAAAATAGATCCGTTATTTATCTTCACAATTAAACTCCATTTTAATTATATTATAAAAATTTTGAATCTTCCACCACATAGATATCCAAAAAATATCTGGTGTGTCCACTCACACGACTTTCCTACCTATTTCAGAAAACTTTTTATATCTTTACATATGTTCATGAAGAAACAAAAAAGAATTGACTTAGATTTATTTATTTGATAAACTGAAGCAATGTAAACCGGCTTAAGGTAGATCGGTGTGTAAAAATTTCAAACATACAGACCAATGGATAAATATTCATGGACTCGGGGGCTCTGAAACGTATAGATCCGTCGAAGACCGCATGTCGGAAATTTGACCCGATTGCAATACTTTCCTTACCTAGTATCGGTAGGAAAGTAATATTAGCACTACATATAATTATAAAAGATATCGCATGGTTTAGGGGATATACTTAATCTGATTGAACTGCACGGATTAAATTTCAACTTAAATCGATCTAACTGTGATGATGTTAAACTATGGAGAGCTATCTTATATTTCGTAAACCAACGACTTCCTGTCCTACAGTTTCCTTTAACAATACTCCACTTACCCCTGTTGAGAAAATCCGATACCCAGGACTCCACCAGGACAAACGACTAACTTGGAATCCTCATACTAGACTGAAACGACAAGAAACCGCTCGACGTTTCCGATTACTTCAGCACTTACTAGACAAACGCTCTAAACTTCCCATTAATTACAAAAGACTCATATACTTGACTATAATAAGACCTATTTGGACTTACGGAGTTGAGCTATGGGGCTCCACTAAACCATCGAATTCCTCTCGGATCCAATCCTTACAATCCAAAATCCTTCGTAAAATCTTCAATGCTCCTTACTTTGTCACTAATAAAATTATCCATAAAGATCTTAATGTTCCTTATGTTTCAGATCTGGCCCAATGCAGATACCTATCCTTCCATAATAAACTTCAGAACCATCCCAATCCTCTCGTTTCTAAACTTGCTTCCTCTTCAATTCCTGATAACCCTCCGAGGCGTCTGAAAAGAAGATGGTCCCGTGATCTCCTAATAAAAAATTTTAAAAAACTTATATTTACTAAGAACTCAAATTCAGAAAGACATATATAATCAATATGTAATCAAAGTTCAGAATTCTAAAACTTTCACTTTTTATCCTCATTTAACTGCAGCAAATTATATTGGTGACAAAAGCTCATTAAAGGTGATCAGATGGGTAATTAAAATTAACCGCCTGAAGTTTCAGGCGGATGTTAATAATTCGATAAAAAGGGGTCTGTACTACGGACTGTATCCTTTAGCCATCTTTTTTCCAGAAGCATCGGAGCTTTGCCAGGAAATGTTTGGATGAAAGGTTATGAACTAGAGGGTTGAGATGACCAAAGTGTTTGGAATTAAAAGAGGAATATCCGATTCATGCCAAATCTTAAACAAAGAGAATGTAAAGGTCTTTATGGATAATTTTATTTATGACATAATAAGGAGCATTAAGGATTTATGGAGGATTTTGTATTGTAAGGATCAGATACGGAAAAAATCCCATAATTTTGAGGAGTCCCAAAGCTGTTGAGTATATGTTCAAATGGACCTGATTTTGGTAGTGCAAATGAATTATTTACTTATATTGGACGTTCAGAGCGTTTGTCAATATAAGTATTCCAAGTTAGACCTAATTTCAGATGAAATAAGTTGTGAGATGTAAGGTGTGTATGTTAGGATGGTTGTATTCTATTACGTAAGTCGCTGTAATAGTTTTGGTACTGTTTGAGATATCGTTTGTATATATGTTGTATAACAGTATTTAACACTAGTATCTGTATTTTACACTACGGAGGACTGATATAATTGATGCTGACACAGAGGTCTTTTTACCAGAGGGGAAATTAACGATTCAATTTTATCTGGTTAACGCTGAGAGCGATATGTCATGGAGCCAGCCCGGGACAGGCCATTATGCTCCCTCAAGAGGGTTTTTGCTTCCATCATCAATCTGCTTCCCTCGGCTGGAGCCGGCTTCAATAGCAGCTGATAGCCCTCTGTAGCTAACCGCCATAATGCTCGTCTGAATAAATTATATAGCGGAAAAAAAATATGTAAGCGAAACAAAGCACACGGAATAAACTATTTAAGCTGTTGTAATACCCATTTAGGAGAAGCCGATATTTAGAGAGGCTCAGCAACCCGTGAAATCATCTAAAAGCTCCAGAATCGCTAAATAATTCTCTAAATGCGATCCTGATCCTATATGATTGCAAATACTCATTTAGCCGGTATTAATCCGTGAGATATCTGTTATTATAATCATCAAAAGAGATTTTATAATAAAATTATCTCTTATAAAATACTTTAACGTCCTATATATTTAAAAAAAAAAACAGACCTATATTTAAATGGACCTATATTTAAAGTGTTGTCAGCCTCATTTTATAGTTATTTTGGTTGTTATTTCATAGTTATCTATACAGCGTGTTTCGTGATTTCACGGCACTATGTTATGTATGTGTTTACTAACACAAAATAAACAAAAAAGTTCATATTAACATATATCTCAAACTCATTAAATTTATTAAACATTAAAGATTTATTATTACATTTATAGTAACTGTTCAAAGGAGGATCAGTTTTGTTGAATGCAACATTCAGCACGACGAATCCATACTTCTCTGGCTCTTCGTGTAGCACCGGTATGCTGCTTGATAGTTACATAAAAATTTCAATAGATTAGAATTATCTTTGGATTTAAACAGCTCATTTGATTTACACTTTTTATAATTATTGCTTCCCTTGCTCTATTTTCTGTTTTTACAGATTTCACTTCTTATATTATGGTCTCAAGTTCACATTTAAAACTGAAAAACATTCTGCTTAAAATATTTAATATTTTTATTGTGGTAATTACATGAAAAATTATTCCAGTCTTAAAATTTTAATGTTAAGAAAATATTCTGTAAAGTTGTTTCCCCTCTCAAAAATTAGTTGAAATGAATTTGATGAAGATTTGTTGGATCGTTATAAATAAAACAGAAATATAACAATTATGAATTATATACGGGTTTTTAGTGTCTTTGCATAGTTAAAAGCATTTAAAATTGCATGTATTATCCTATAAAACTTTTATTACTCCCTTTCATTGACATAAAAGTAAAATTAAGACGACCAATAAAGAGCCTGTAAGTGGGAGATTTTAATTGAAATATAAAACTAAGGGGATAGTTTTTACGAGCTGCGGATGGTAGTGGATGGTCCAGCTTAAGATGTTTACTACCTCATCCTTCTGTCGGCCAATTGCTTCTGTTTAAATTGCCCTAGGACGTCCAAATAAAAAAAGAAACTTCTATATAAATAATTTATTTTTATTTAAAAATTATCTTAAGGAATCATTAAACATAGACAGATTTTATTTTCCTAATGTATTAAAGTTCAAGAGATTTTTTTTTTTTGTCTTGTACTATAAAGCTTCTCAAAGAGTTATTTTTTTTTTTCATATCTGTTGTTTAGATTTGCCTTGCTTGGCTTTCTATTATATCGAAGAGTGACACAGAACTCTAATATTAAACTTAAAAGGCAAGACCTCAACCGACGATTTGACCAGCTTTATATCTAGTGTTGCCATGAATTCTGTTACAAAAGTTGAACTTTGTTTACATCCTTGGGTATTATTTAAATAATCCTTACCTCTATCAGGTTATTTTCTTTACATGTCAGGATAATAATCCCAATTAGTTTGTATTTTTCTTTCGCTCAGCTAATATGGAGTGAGGTGATGATAAAGAAAACCGAATAGCTGTGATCTCCATACATAAAGTTGTAAAATGTAGGTCATAGATTTTGGGTATCAGCTGTATGTTCGTGTACCACACTGTACAGAGATATAATGAGACACTATCTGTTAGTGACAGACCTCGACCGGACCGTCCCCGCACTGTGAGAACAGCAAATGCAGTGAGAGCAGTTCCTGCTCGAATCAGAAGAAATCCGATTCCAAAACAACAAATCATGTCTCAGGAAATGGGAATCTCTGTCAAATCAATGTCTCGCATAATAAACAGTGATCTTAGGATGGGAGCATTTCTAAGAGTGACGGGACAAAGGCTAACCACTTCCCTAAAACAAAATAGAGTGGATAAATGCAAAGTGCTCCTTGGCCGTTACACCATCTTTATCGAAAGATTTTGTTTAGCGATGAGAAAATCGTTAAAATTGAAGAAAAACGTAATGGCCAAATGATCGTTGTACGCACACAGCTCTAAAGAAGTCCAGGAAGTCATTGGAAGAGTGAAAAGAGGTCATCACCCTTCCTCAGTGATGGTTGGGTGAGAAGTTTGCTTTGATGGCACCACAAAGCTCCGTTTTTGTGAAAATCAGTTAAAACAGTCGCTAAGAACTATCAGAACGATATTTTAGAACCTGTTGTCAAGCCTCTAAATGGTGCTCTTTTTTGCTGGAAGTAACAGGGTTTTCCAGGTTATTCCGCTTCAGCTCACAAGGCCAGGTCAACTCAGCAGTGGCTGCAAAAGAACATTCCAGAGTTCATCTCTTTCTCGGATTGGCCTTCAGGAAGCCCTGATCTCAACCCATCGGCTTTGGTCCGAACTGGAGAGGATGGCATGACTCAGAGAACACCCTAACTTAGAAAGCCTTAAACAATCTCTGGTCCGAGAAATTGAGCGCTTTCCTCAGAAAATGCAGCGTGCTGCTATTGATGAGTAGCAACGGAAATTAAATGGCTGTGTGGAAAGAGGACATTTAAATAAAAAATGAGGACATTTTGAGTAATTTCTTTTTTGTTTTACTCTCTATAGATATTCATTTTATTTTCTAATAAAGTTTAAAAAAAATAAATAATTTTTCTGTCGAAATCAGTATATATTTCCTTGTAACAATATTTATGAAAGGACTAGTTGGACTGAATAGAAAATCTCAATATTCTGTCGACAACATATTACTGATCTACAAGAAGATCCTGAAACGTAATTGGGCGTACGGACTAGAACTGTGAGGAAAAGCAAAATTTCCCAGTGTCAAACGCATCCAATCCTTCACCCGACACCATAACCTTAATATACCATTGCCTTCCCCTCCTTTGTTCACTTTCGGTTTGTTCGTTGTTTTTATCTCTTCCTAGTTCGAAAGTTTCCACAAAATAAAACCACACAAATATGGTCCTCCTTCATAAAAGTTAAAACCGGATAAAAATGTATCCCTCTCAAAAGTTTCAATGACATAAACTTTAATGGATGACAAGTTACTATATGGCGCTATGTCACCTTTTTTCATTTTAAAGTGTGGTCAAGAATGGACTGGTCTGAAGTCCAAATTACATACCCGCAAATCAAGGATTAGTTGTATCATTCATTTAGTTATGTGTGGTTGAAATTATTTATTAAGGGTTGTCCTAAGCCATATTAACAGCAGAAATAATTAAGTCTAATAAAGTAAGAATAAATAACAAATAGCGTTTTAGAATATTTATGTCACCGCTTTATCGAATATTATAAACCAGGAGTTTCCAAATTAAGGCCTACGGGCAATATTCAGCCCGCAAGCACCTCCGCCAGCGAAAGTTTCTTTGATTAGATGTTAAAATTATTTTTTTTTTTATCATTTTATTGAGGTATAATACATTTTACCACACTTAAAAACACTGAGTATTATAGCTGTAAGGCACATTCATACCATATTTACAATATAATAAAATAAAAAAAATGAAATACATAAATATAGATATATAAAAGATAATAATGTATATATAACAAAAATAATACAGAAAATTCATAAGGGAAAAAAATTAAATTAATATTTATGATAATAAATTATTAGAATTGAGTAAAAAAAAATATATAAAATAAAATTTTAAAAAAATGAAATAAAATAACAGTCATACTTAATTACAATATTTACAATCAGCCAAGGGAGTTCCGAGTCCAGACCTTTTCCCCACGTGTAAAGGACAAGGCTGTTAAAAATGATTAAAAATATATAAAATTTAGCAAATTACTCACTCAAGAAATTACTACGACATTTATTGCATGGTATAAGAATAAATTACAAATATCGTTTTAGAATTTTTTTGCCACCAATTTATCTAATATTATATACCTGGATTTTCGAAACTATGGTCCGCTAGGAGTTACTATAGCATTTATCACATGTTTTTTTTTTTTTCTCTGAGCAAGTTCTTTTCACAACTGAAAGTGTCATTTATGGAACAAGATTTTCATTTTCATCACAAGCCATGACCCGCGGGACTTAATCGGAGTCCTTAATGCGGCCCGCGTGTCATTGCGTTTTCGAGGTAGCACGCGGACAAAAAAGTTTAGAGGCCTCTGTTATAAACAATAATCATGCTATATTGTTCCGTTGTTCTGCCCCGAGATACTACCATGTCTCTCACCACTACACTGAGTTAGAGTGGCTCTTCCCCTCCATTCGAAGACAATATTTCCTAGGTACAGTCCTCTATCATATCATCACAAATCATCGTCCTTCCTACGCCTACAACCTTCTCCAATTCAAGTCCTCAGTCCACTCCATCTCCACAAGATCTCGACCTTCCGACCTTTACATTCCTTCTCACAGATCTGCCTCGTTCCAAAACTCCTTTATTGCTCGTTCTGTTAGTTTCTGGAATTCCCTTCCTATCAAAATTCGACATTCTTCATCCTTATCTACATTCAAAACCCTCCTATTCCAATTCCTGTCCCAAAAACAGTCAGATACTAGCTAACCTTTTATGTAAAATTACATATTATTTATAATAATATATTCACATATAGCTCATAACCTAAATACTTATTATAGATTCGACTTTCTTTTTTCTTTTTTTTTTTCAACAGAAACACAGATTTTACTATTAAGAAGAATTTACATTTATTTTTTCTAAAAGGGTTTATTTATATTTTAACATTGTACATATTTTTAAGTATCTTAGTATGGTTTCAAGAGTTTTTATATAGTTTTTTATTTTATTTTGTATATAGTATGTATAACCAATTTTTTTTTAACTTTTTTTTTTTAATGATCTATCTTTATCTTAACTTTT